CAACAAGCTGATTCTTTCGGTGTACAAGAGAATGAAGAACATGAAACCACAGATAACAAGAACGATAATAGAGACAGGAATCTTGGTTCCTCCTCTGTTAGGAATCAAGAAACTCATAGTGGCAAATGTAGTAATTCTGAGTGGAAAACGTGTCGGTTTGGTATTTAGAGGGTGCTAAGAGAGTGTTTGGTTTTTATTTGGGAAATTAAGGATCGATTGAGTAGGAGTGAAGCTTAAGGTATGTTTGGATGTGTTGTTTCCATCTTTTCCCCCAATATAATAAAGATGAGGTTAAGGTTTGATATGATTGAGTTTAGACTATTGATTATAATCTGTTAACGTGAAATGCACGTTGTTATTCATTAGGTCTTTTTTTTTTTTTAAAGACATCTTCCGTTAAGTAGTGTATGTGTAAATTTGTGATGATTTGCAGTAAAATGTCATGATAAATTTCATAAACTCATCATTGCTTTTAAAGCAGTTCATCACGTACTAATTTAATTTGAGTCATATCAAATTAATTGTTGATTAACTTTGCTTGAGTCGATTTGATTTGTTGTTTTCTTTTATACATAGAACTTTGGTTTCAAGCTATATGCATATACATAGGAAAACATCTTTTTGGAGAAAGCCGTTTAGGATAGTTAATTGTTGATTTGATTAGGAGAATTAATCAAATCGCTAATCAAATAATCATTCTTAAAAAGCCGCTTAATGTGAGGTACAAATAGTTCAGGAATTGTTATCTTTGGGCAGCAATATTGTATTTAACGACAAATAAATATTCAATGGCACATGAAAACGAAATAAACAGACACCAACTTGGTGTTGCTTGTAACATCAACAATAGATTCTTTTGGTTATTTTTAGTTGTGATAAAAGGCAAAACACAAATCATTAGGCTTCTACTTTCGGAATTGATAATGCATATAGTGGGAATGGTTGTGACATACGTTTCTTCATTAATCTGACTTAATCCTATTTTATAGGACTACTTAGGCATT